ACTCAGTATTCTAACCGCTTGTTGTTAAAACTCTGAAACTGATGTTAATATTTGCTAAAGTATATTTGCCGGCTCACCTCTAAAGATTACAACACTGTCTCACCTTAAAATATCTAAAGCTCTTAGAAATAGTATATTGGATCGGCAGAAAAGTGGGTGAGAAGATTGATGCACAATTCTTACAATGATGGGCTTTGATACTTGGGATCTTTATGGCTGGGTGCGGGGGAACAAGTGGTCTGTTATTGGCGTACACTATTTGAACTAAGTCGTCTGAAAATAAACTATAGGGGGTAGCATCCTAGAGACGCAACTTTGAACAAATTCTCAGACTCTCAAACACAGATTCTTAGCTTGGCCAAGGTAAGAATAAGTAGGCTGTTTCGCTTGATAAGCTTGATCCGTTTCTAAAACAAAAAATAACAATTTTAGTATAAAAAACAATTAATACAATCTTCTAAACGGGGAAAAGTGAACATATAATGTACCAAACGGTTACTACAGTATAGGAAAAATGATTCCACAAAACTTCATACCGTTTATTACAACCTTGAAAGATAGTGACTGGTGAATAAAGAAGACGTAGTGATACCAGGTCAAAGGGAGTCAGTATGGTGACGGGTGTTTAATGTTACCGATCACGACCTACATAAACGTTCTACCAGAACCTTACTACTTCTTTCTATTAAGTAACTGTTGAGAAGTTATTATTAATAGAACTCAATAACAGACGCGACCCCTTCATTTTGTAGTTTCAAAATCGCTCCTATCCAGAATGCTCTTCCAGTCGAAGTGGCCATCTTCGTACCTGCCTCAGAAATTACCTATCACAATTATCATCATACATGACTGCCTCCTGATTATCTCGCTCCTCGTTACCTCCGTTTACTTATTATTCTCAAAATTATGTTTCTTCATAATACTTGAACAATTATTTAGTCAATTTTTCTCTTCTAACCATCTGTTCCTCGTCATTCTTCGGTATTCAAATTTTTACTGGTCTTTGCACTCCAGACAACCTAGCTGCTACTTGATAAGTGACACTTACTGGCTTGAGAAGTCCTTAGTCATGCAATCACACCAGATCACGAGTAGGCACACCATGCTTTATATACCCTACAACCGCTAGTCAATTTTGATTGATCACTTCTCTATGGCTTATCAAATGTATCTTCGAACATCTTCGCTTCTGACTGTTAATTTGACTTGGCCGGCACATTCCGATTATAAAACGTGTTACTAGTTAAAGCGATGTCAAACTCCAAATACTTGTGGAATCTTTTATTGGTGAGCCTGACGTGATCTGTTACACCAAATCGTAAACCGTGAGTTTGTTCCCTGTTGGAAATTTATGTATCAATTTCTACTTCGTTTTTATGTAACGTGATATCTTTTTTAGTTCTTTTGGATGTTTTTTCGTTCATTTCTATACTTTCTATTCATCATCACCGAAAACACTCCCAAATTATTTAACATCGAGACTCTTGCGCCACCCTCGTTTTGGATAATGCTATTTTGCCCGACAACATCGAAGCCTGGTTCTATTAAGCAGAAGCTGGCTTGTACGTGTACGGCTTGACAGACTCACGTGCACAGTTCCTCACAGCATTGAAGGCACTACCGCGCGATTTAAACGGGTGCGTTACACCTAGTGTGTTCACTAATGATGTTTCGGAACCTTATGGCTCTTCTTAAGCCTGGAGATCTAACCAATCGACAAATGTTAGGTCAAATCCTCAATAACATCGATCTTCAACATGGCTCAGCAACAGATATGCTGTTGCGAATGAGAGAGGCCAATGGTCAACAGACATTTGGTGATGGCCTGTTTAGACAGCCTTTCTTGTCTAAGCTTCCCCAACAGGTGCAGGCAGTGTTTTTCTCCTTTTAAAATAACGCTGCAGACGAGCTAGCTGCACCTACCAGAAATTCTAACGCCGAGGTCTGTTCGGCCAAATAAAAGCCTCAAACGATACGAAATGACGTCACACACCTCTGTCATGCTCTGAAACGTAAACTTAGTATTCGTCATGACAATAAACGATCCAGATCTCCTCGAATAAGTGCTTCACGAGAACGATATATCTCTAGATCGCGAAAGATAGACAACCCTGACTGATCAGTACAGAGAATCTCGAAGTTGTAGAAAACTCTGCAGGTTTTTGAGCCCCAAATCGACCCACACGAAAAACGGTATGGGAAACTTCCCACCTGGAACGCGTTTACTGCAACTGTAGCCGGCGAGCATGGCCGTCTGAAGCTCACCACTGACGTCACTTCGGAAGTTCGCTACCTCGTTGGCACTGACGCAGAAGTCATCGTTCTCCCACAAAACTCTAAAGGCCGTATACGTGAACCGGTTTTGAACTTACAGGTGGCAAATAGGAAACCGATCGCGATATATGTATGTTAACGTGGGCTTACGCAAACCCATTCACTGGATTTTTGTTGTTGCAGATGTTTCTATGCCAATCATGAGTAAAGACCTGATTCAATACCGTATTCTATTCATCAAGGCGTGAAAATGGAAGTTAGTGGGTGAAAATACTAAATTATCTGTTTTTTTGACTTTCTTTTCCGGTTCTAGATTATCCCCAGTCACGGTAACGCACACAATCGATCCATATCATCAACAAATAATCGATTTGTGCTTCAGGATATGCAAAACGCGACTGAAACTGCCATGTATATCCAGCACTGTTACAAAACACGTAACGACATCATGGTCACCTATGTTCCCGGAAGCGCGCCGACTAGCTCCTGAGGAGCTGGGTTCGGCTAAAAAGGAATTCCACTACATAATAGACTTGGGAATCATTCGGCCATTATACAGCCCGTTGGCATCCCCCTTGCACATAGTCCCCGAGATGGACAGCAACGGTGACGTCTAGCTGGTGACTATCGGCGACTGAATGCGGAAACCATTTCTGATCGTTACTCGTTTCCTCAAACTCACTATTTGACAGATACATTGGAAGGTACGACTGATTTTTTCGAAAATCGACTTGGTTAAAGAGTACAACGAAACTCTTATGGCTACAGACGACGTTCCTAAAACTACCCTATTTGGACTTTACGAATTTTCGCGCATGCCATTCGGTTTAAGAAATGCTGCACAAACTTTGCAGAGATTCATTGACGACTGATTTTGAGGTCTCAACTTTGTATATGAGTATGTTAATGACTGCTGAATTGAAAGTTCAGACAGAGAATCTCATTCCCACAATCTGGACCTTGTCTTTGATTAACTGCAAAACATGGCGATACTGTGAACATTCACAAATGTCAAACAGAAACCAATTTCATAGATATGATCACTCTTGAATAACTAGCCCGCTGATCGCCGTAGTTAAACGAGCACCCTCCCTTGCAGGTGAGCGGAGGTTTGATGTAGCAAACCTTCTGACAGGTTCAGTCACATACATCTCATCAATGAGCTCAAACTATAAGTTCATAGTTAACAGACTGGTTCACTTCATATTTAAATAGTCCATATTCTGAAGTTGAGGTAAACTTTTTTTCAGGCAACGGAATGTCTTAATGAAGTTTTTGTATCGATGGGTACAATTCTAAGAAACCAGACTGGTAGTGGATAGGTATTTATTTAGATCGTGGAACGGAACAGTTTGAGCGCAAGGTTGTCTTTTTCAGACACACAAAGTTTCCATCAATCAACGTAAAAAATAGGGAATATTGTGTTTATACAGGATGAGTAAGTGAATAATTACTTGAGCTATATTGTTTTGACATTCAGATCTTTACGGTCAACTCTTAACCAGACAACCTAAGTTGTTCCAGGGTTTCCCGGGGCTCTTTACTGGAACTTATTCTCACCTGTTAAACATAGGAGCGAGTTTTGCAATCAATATGACAAGTTGGTACTTCAGGGGGATCTGAATGGACTTCAGAGTTTATGGGATAGTGAATTGGTTTTCGCTGCTTCAGAGTGTGAATTAGTCTATGTGAAACATACAGCAGAATGCGTGTACAACTTACTTGACCCTCATTTAGTGGTGTCACGGGTTGAAAAAGACCTAGGCGTGCTGGTAGATTGTGGTCTAGTCTTACTCTGCAAAAAGTCTTTAGAGCAGACGTTGCACAAGAAATTTTGGAACGGTAGAATTTTCTACTTAATCTTTGACAGTTCTGTTCGGCCCCGCTTACGGTATGGGAACATAGTGTTCCGTCCATCGCTCCCAAAGGATAGGAATACACTGAAGTGTATTCAAATATGGACAATCAAATCAATTTGAGGACTTAAACTCAAACGTTATCAAAAATGCACCAAAAATCACTTGGTCCTCACCCATTAGAGGATAGACTTCACAGATGTGACCTAACAACTTGTGGCATACTAAAAACTCGTGAGTACTCTAATAAGTACTTGCCTAGGTTCAGTTCCAACACAAAATTTGGTAGTAACATCCGTAAATTAGATATTCAACCTTAGAGATCCCACAGATATTCGGATTTTGACAACACCTTTAACCGCAAAAGCCTAATAATCGGAGTATAACAACCCAGTCAAATCACAAGACAGAAATGGGGCAGTTCAGAGACATGTTTAGCAAGTTATCGACATGCTGAATAGCGTTTGATCTAGACTGGCTAGTAGATGTAAGGGATGCGTAGCAGTGGATGCTTGACAAAACATTTTAAGCTAGGGTGTGAGCAGTAAAAATAATGAAGCCAGCATCAATGTCAAAGAAATTCAGAAACATTTGTTTTGGGGTCTGCTTATCGCTATCTTTACCAGTAGTCAAATTCTGGAGTTGGCTGACGGCTAAGTTGGTCCAAGTGACTTCCCATGATTCCTTCAAAAGGAAAATTTATATACTCTTTAGTACTCAGAATGGTGTTTACCAATATTTACCAATTTACCAACTGTTATACCTATTTGCTTACGTAGAGGCATCGAAAGGTTTTGAACCATATTACCCTCATAAATTAAGTTGGTGCGGTACTTTCCATAAGTAAGGATGTAGTTGGTCGCTATTGTAGTCAAGGCGAGGTAGTAGATTGTATTGTGTTTCTATTATTACTGTGTATTTTTTAATAAAGTACAGCTACAGATCACTACTAGTAATTATGTTGTGTATGTATATAGTAATACTCACGAGAATATCTCAACGGACGTCTTTTCAATATTGATTTTATTGTTCAGTTGCATTTTCACCATTTGCCAAGGTTTGTACAGTCCAGTTGATAGGTAAAAGCTATCTCTGTTTTGCTTAGGAACGAGTTAAAAAGTAATCAGCTTCTATGCTGTCATGGATACCGTCGTATGATAGTTTCTCTGGATTTGTGGGTTTTTTTTCCCGACCACGGCCACATGATATGTCTATGGAAAACCGCCTTATTTTGTGACTACTCTTATCACCGCCGAAATTATAATTTCGGTGAAGCGAAGCTTATGGTTGACAGTGAGCGTTCTCGTTAGAACTGCTCTTTGACCTAGAGTTTGTGTTATCAAACCTGGTTAGTTGACGACTGTACTTGACCTTTGCCTGGACACAATTAGTTGCCATATTTTATTCTGGGTTTTCATATAACCAGTAGCATTCTAGTATACGTGGTCCATGGCTTGGTGTTGAAGTGGTTTCCTTGAAATACGCTAATTAACGAAGCACAAGTGTTCGATCTTCCCAAATGTTAACTTGTTGAAAACTAATTTACTTGCCTATTTTACAAAAGGAATCCAAGTAATCGGTCCCGGACTACTCCGTCATGGATGTTTTATCATCGGAACATTCGATCGAAAATAAAGTGATCAGATTTGGACGGAATCATTTCCTGAAGTAATTACTTCTTCGTCTATCTGCATCGTAACGTGCAAATTTTTTAATTGATGTTATTGGGATCTGTAATATCTAGAAGATGTCATTGCGCATAAATGACTAATGGAAATAAATCATTAAGGAATGATTGACTTCAACTTCATAGTGTTAATTTTATAGTCTAGAAAATCATAGCACTCGTGTTGGCAATGTATATTGGAGTAGTTTTGACTTCAAAAACAAACGTCTATAGTCATTTCAACTCAAGAGTCAGAGTAGCTAATTTCGATTATTCATGGGTAAGTACTTCAGTTACTTTATACCGTGATAAAACTTCCCTCGGGCCTGGAATTCTCTTTTTTTAGTCTTATACGTCCATAAGTATATTCTGGCTTTGGAGCTAACAGCATATCTGAGTGCGACAGATAATTTGAGTCGATTTGAAGTTTTCTATCGTACTTTAAAAAGCTTCAATTTATCATTCCCGTAACGTGTAAATAGTATTCTCATGCCAGCTCAGCATCACAGTGAAGATGCCACAGGTATTCGGAGTTTGACAACGCTTCAACCAGTAACACCTAATATGAAGCGTACCCACCAAGTGAAATTAAAAGACAGAAGCGAGGAGGTTCGAAGATATGTTTGATAAGCTATCAATATATCGAGGATCGTCTGAACTAATCTGGCTAGCGATTGCGGTAGATGTTGAGCACGGCGTTCCCATACGTGATCTGGTGAGGATGCATGACCGAGCGCCTTCAGCTAGATGAGTCCATTAAAACTAATGTGGTCAGCATCCAATGTAGAAAACTTACAGAGCTATTTATTTTGGAGATTTATTTACCACTACAGATCACTCTTCCCCTAGTGGGGTAGTGATGATCCCAAGACGTGGTCAGCCAGATGTTTAAACCCAACGAGTTCTTCGTTGGTAAACACTCTTCTGATAGCTTTCTAGATTTAGCAGCGTATGGTCATCTTCCCTTACTATAAGGGACCATGATGTACAATATAGTAAAAAAAAAGTACAATGAAGATTTCCGTTTCTCGCAAACTTCATCGTTCTTTTTATCGTCTTTTCCAGCCGTCCTGGAAAAGAAAAAAAATATGTAAGTGCATGTCGAGATACACTCGTACGCGCGTGAAAACACAAAGCGGGAGTTTTAAACGAGCTTAAGGGACATTTGTTATGTCTAATCACCTTAGATTCATGGCAGCTCACACAGGAGCGTGCCCACTCCCTCACGTCTTTATTCATACCAGGCCAGCAAAACCGTTCTGCTATAAGCTTGATGGTTGCACGAACACCTGGGTGAGAAAGTTTGAGCAACGTATTGAAGACGTTGCGTCGATAATGTTTCGGCACGATCGGGCGATCCCTACCTGTTTATGTGTCACAAAGTAAGGTTTCCTTACCTGGCCCCATCTGTTTAATTCGCAGTTTAAGTGTTGTTGACGATAACTCGTGCTGAAGATCAGTGTCTTCTTTTTGAAGCAGGGCGAGTTCTATAAGGTCGATTCCTTGGAAACTGTTCAGGGAATTTATGCGAGACAAGATGTCTGCAACTACATTGTTTACTCTAGAAATGTGACGAATATCTGAAGTAAACTGCGAAATATAGTCCAGTTGTCGATACTTACGTGGTGAGTACTTGTCTGAAGATGAGCTCAAAGAGAAAGTAAGAGGTTTATGGTCGGTAAAAAGAGTGAATTCACGGCTTTCGATATAACATTGAAAATGCCGTACAGCACAATAAATAGCTAGGAGTTCCCTACCGAATGTGCTGTACCTCGATTCAGTGTCTAGCAACCGTCTAGAGAAAAATGCCAAAGGTTGCCAGGAGTGGTTAACCCATTGTTGTAAGATTCCTCCGATTGCTGGGTTGGATGCGTCTACTGCGATGCTAATGGGCGCTTCAGTGTCCTGATGAGCAAGCATGGTTGCTTGAGCGATACGTTCCTTGACCGTGGAGAATTCTTTTCGCGCTGTCACCCAGACTGATGGATTTTGCATTTCCACGAAGTTGGTCGGTGAGAGGTTTTATAATCAAGGCGCATTTGGGAATGAACCGTCTATAGAACCTTACAAGGCCGCTTAACCTACGTCATTGCTTGATGGTGGTCGGTTTTGGGTAATCCTGAATGGCCGCCCATTTTTGTTCTAAGGGGTCGGATACCTTGCGCATCGTTAGTGTGTCCTGGGAAGTCTAAGGAGTCGGTCCCAATTTGGCATTTCTGAATGTTTACAGTAATGTCATGTTTTTGTAGTCGATCGAAAACAAGGTCCAGATGCTGGAGATGCGACTCTCTGTCCGGAATTGCTATTAGGCAGTCATCAACATGCTTATGTACAAAGTTGAGACCTCGAAAAACGTCATCTATGAACCTTTGGAATGTCTGTGCCGCGTTTCTTAGACCGAAAGGCATTCGCAAAAATTTATAGAGTCCGAAGGGCGTTATAATAGTGGTTTTTGGAATATCATCAGTGGCCGTAGGAATTCGGTTATACGCTTTAACCAAGTCGATTTTCGAAAAGACAGTTGTACTTTTCAAGGTAGCTGTCAAACCGTGAATGTGAGGCAACGGGTAACGATTGGGAATGGTTTTTGCATTCAATCGCCGATAGTCACCAATTGGACGCCAATCGTTGCTGTCCTTTTTAGGGACCATGTGCATCAGGGATGCCCATGGGCAATTTGACGGTCGTACGATTCCTAAGTCTATCATATGCTTCTCGCCAACCTTAACTTTTCGGTGGCCAGTCGGCGTGCTTTAGAGAATACAGGTGGTCCTGTAGTTGTTATGTAATGTTTAACGTTGCTGGTTACACACAGCAATTTCGGTTGCGGTTGGTTAATGCCGGAATACTTATCGAGTATTGGTTGAGAGAATGGGTCTATAGTGTGCTTAATTGTGACTGGAGATAATCTGCAACCAGAAAAAGAAGTTACGCAGACAGATAAATTAGTATTTCCGTCTACTAGCCTCCGTTTGCGCTTATCGATAATTAAGTTGTGGTGCTGTAGAAGGTCCATACCAATGATTGGCATAGAAACATCTGCAACAACAAAGATCCAGTGAATGGGTTTGCGTAAGCCCGCGTTAAAATAAACATACCTTTTGCCATACGTAGCAATAGGCTTTCCGTTTGCAGCCTGTAGACTTGAGACCGATTCGTGAAGCCGGTCGTTGGAATTCGCTGGGAGAACGCTAACTTCTGCGCCAGTATCGACGAGGTAGCGAACTCTCGTTACGACATCTGTGACGTATAGCGGACGGCTACGTTCGCCGGCTACGGTTGTCGTTAACGCGTGCCGGCTTGGAAGTTTCCCGAAACGTTTTTCTCGTCGACCGGTTTTGAGTTGGGAAAATTGCAGGGTTTTCTGCAATTTCTGGAGGACTTTCCATACTGGTTATGATACCAGCACCAGTCAGGGTTATCCGTCTCGTGGTCTAGAGACAGATCACCTACGTGAAGTGTGGCCCCCTAAGAAAACCACCTGCTTCGTTTTGGGAACCCTGGCAGTATCACAGCCCTCACCCATATCCAATGAGATGTGTGGCACATATGTATTCGGTGTCTCCTTGTACCGATATCTATGTGTTAAAACAAATAAATAATAATAGTGCTTCTTCCCTGGGTGTGTGACGGTTTACGGTCGTTACGAAGTTCAAGATAACGCGTAAGTGTATGACATAACTCTGTAATGTCATCCTGGGTCGTTTGAAGCTTTTCTTTGACTGAAAAAAGCTCGGTATTAGAAGGTTTAGTGATTTCAAGGATACGGTTGGCAGATGCGGCCAGCTCGTCTACGGCGTTGTTTTGAAACGAGACCAGCACAGCTTGCATCTGTTGAGGAAGTTTTGATAAGAAAAGTTGTTTGAACAGGCGATCACCGAAGGTTCTTTGGCCAATAACTTTGCAACATGTCTGTGGCAAAACCGTGTTGCAGGTCGATATTGCTAAGGAGTTGGTCTAACCTTTGTCGATCGGTTAGATCTCCGCGTTTAAGGATGTATCTTTTAAGAGTTTCGTACGGTTCTGAAACATCACTAGTAAACATACTAGGTTTTACGTACCTGTTGAATTCGCGCGGTAGTGCCTTGACTACTGCGAGGAATTGTGCATGTGTGTCGTTCACACCGTGCTCACAGAAGTCTGCTTCTGCGTAGCAAAACCAGGCCTCGATATTGTCTGGCCAGAAGGGCATTAGTTGGAACGAAGGTGGGGACACAGTCTTTAACTTAAATACCTTAGGTGTCTGTTCAGTCATAGTTATATATTATGTACGAGAATGGACTAGTGGGAAATATATATTTATCCAAAAATACGAAAAAATATCACAATGTATAAAAAAATTAGAATAAGACAATGATATATAAACTCCCAAAAAGGAACAAACTCATAGTTTGAAATTTAGTGTACCAGATCGCGTTAGGCTCACCAATAAATAGCTCTGTAAGTTTTCTACATTGGATGCTGACCACATTAGTTTTAATGGACTCATCTAGCTGAAGGCGCTCGGTCATGCATCCTCACCAGATCACGTTTGGGAACGCCGTGCTCAACATCTACCGCAATCGCTAGCCAGATTAGTTCAGGCGATCCTCGATATATTGATAGCTTATGAAATATATCTTCGAACCTCCTCGCTTCTGTCTTTTGATTTCACTTGGTGGGTACGCTTCATATTAGGTGTTACTGGTTGAAGCGTTGTCAAACTCCGAATACCTGTGGCATTTTCAACAGATAATTGTCTCATTTAGCTTGCTAGTATAACTGTTGTTTGTTTGGTCTTTAAATTAAGCCTTTCCAGACTTGAAAACCAGTTTTGTCATCTTTATTCTATTAATGGCAGTTTACATGTGTTCCTTGTAAATGATGACGTGTTTTTGTCTTCCACTTGTTCTGTTTCTACATGGATCAAACTTCTATAACCGTGGAAAACAGTCATAACCATTTTTTTGTTCATAAGTTCAGAGAATTCACACCATTGACGAAGTTTTTTTACCCACTTTTTCATTCATTTGGTTAATTCCCTTTCGACATAATAATATTAAGTATGGCAACTGAAGAGACTTTTTTGCCATTTCGTGAATTACGTATTACCATTATTTTTATGTATTTCTCGTACTATTATAAATAGTTCAAAGTTACACTTATGTTTTATCATATAGCTCGTCGGCCAAACATGAAAATTAATTGGAAGTGCCCTGACTGGAAGACTTATACTCTTGATCCTCCTCCTTTGAAAGAGCACGTTGAGAGATTGGCCAAGCTAGGTTTGAAAGATCCATGGGCTCGGTAGGTGTTATAACTTGATGGTTTTTGGAAAGGCTACTATGTATTGGCTAATTCTTACCATAATTGGTCAAAATAAATCACTTTTCTCTGTGACACTTTGGATGATACTTAAAATACCAAAGCTAATGTATTGTGATGAGTGTACTGCATCCTGTTATACTGTTGTACACTACTAGTTCTCTAGTACTATAGGTAACTGTATTGTTCCTCTCTTGCTTTTCTTCCTGTTGCTTCCTGTGTCTAACAAAAGGCGTTAATTTATTATGGTATACATTCGTAGCGGGTCCCACGTTCTTCATTTGCATTTGTGTTACACCTGGTCATCAATATTTCCTTCCTACTTGCTGTTGCAATAATTAGTTGGACTTGAAACTTTTATCCGTTATCACTTTAGTTATTTGCTGATTCCATCAATTCGGTACATAGAAATTTAATCAATCGGCCTGAATGCCTCAAACTCTCTGGGCAATAAATATTTTTCCTCCATCTAATATGTATCTTAGTTGCGGTGTACACGTGGTTGAGTGAATGCTCTCATATATTTGTTAGGACCTTATTTAATGCCTTGTTTGGAGTAGTTAATGAAATGTATCAATGCACTGTTGTTTTCTTCATCTCTTGAGTTTCCATGATTTATGAAATTTTGGAACTAACTATAATATTTCGGTCATGCACATCATCCCAACAATTACTTCAGATCATACTTCAGTCTAGCTTGCTGCACTTTGAAACAACACAGAAAAAGGAATATATATGCAGGCGAATGAAAAATGAACACGAATTAATATATGTAAATTTCCACCAGTTGACTGTTTAATTTCTTTTCGAAAAATCGAAATTAGGTACATCTTCGAAACTATAACTTTCGTTTTTTATATTTCGAACAGTTTGGATTGAAAAGGTAGATAATGGACAACTACATACAATTTTCCAGTTTCAGTTGCCAGGATAACGTTTTGGATATAATTAGTATTTGGTGGTCGGCACCTAAACTCCACGATAATGAACAGTGATTATGAAATATAATTCTTCATTCAATCTCTCAACTTAAAACGGTTAATTTCACCTGTACAACAGTAATATTTAAAAACCAAGTACGAGGTGTTCTGGAAGAATTTATTCAAGGTATCCATGGGGAACTAGAAAGACGGTAAAATTTAATAGATTAATGTGGTATAACTGCTGATTATTGCTAATCAAAAGACAGTCAAGTGTTAGCCATCTTCTATACCAGACAAAAAATGCCAAATTTATGCGAATCGATAGGTGATCGTTCAGTTTATTTCTGTTTACTGGAATCAGGAGATGCATAGTATCGTTTTGAAGTTTACTGTTTATTCCGCACTGAAAAGTAGGTTCGGAATAATGTTTTGTTAAACAAATGGCTTATACTTTCTAATTCTGTTATATCCTTTGCAACTTTACATAATATTTGAAGTCATAAAGAACAACTTGGAAAGTTTCTGAACAACTCTTTCGTTTTCCAATATTTCACATATTGGTCCATAGTCCAAGTTCGACCAGTTTTTTATCGACATCGAAGTTCCCTACGTGTTTAGTAACCTGTTTTTTGATGATTGTAGTGTTGTGGGTATTTTTTGTCAACGAAAAAATACATTGCTCCAAAGATTTATCGCTTAAAAGCGTCTTTTCCTTAATATTTCTATTTTTCAGTAATTATGCATGGCAATATTTACCGAAAATTTACAAACCACGTTCTCAACTGTACAGAGAAATATTTCTTTCAAGATTACCTCATGGTGTAGCTCTAGGAATTGCAGCCTCGATCTTAATAAATCAATTTGACAAATGGCGTAAAGGCGAATTCAGTGTAGCAAAACATTAACAAGTCATCTTGTTTTGTTTCCCATTCATTGACTTTTTAATTTTCGTTTAAATTAGTGTTAGAATTTTAAGTGTTATGTTCATTGTAAAAGAAAAAAATAACGAAATAATTCGGAATCTAAAAATATGTAAACGTGACTTACTTGTTCAGTGCTTTGCATAAATGGGGTGCATTTGGAAATTAAATATCTAAGTTAATGGTCACCTGTCCGAGTATCATCAGGTTTATTTACTCTCAGTTTCTTTGATCGATTTTAGTTTGAATTGTTTATAATGAAGTAATGTGTCGCGTCCAAATGTTAAGTCAAGTTATAAAATCACAATTATTTAAAAGGAATCTATTTAGTTAGTTGGATCCTTTTAATTATGAAATATGGGTCGAGTTCTCTTTTATCGTGAGGCATTCTTTATATTTTATCAATAGGTTGTGTTCATTTAATGAATATTGATTTCCAGTTACCTTTGCGGAGTTTCCAGTCCAGATGCACTGTTGCTGAGGTGGCAATAATATAACACTGGAGTCCATGTTTTGTACTCCATCAGACTTACTGACGTACTGTCTACGTTAATGCTGTTCTGAAGACTACACATTCAGTATTCATGAAAGCCATTTGTTTTTTTATTAGAATTGATCATCATCAGCATTAAACTGTATTGATGAAGAACTTAGACCTAAAGAATACGAAGGCCTATATTTGGCGATCATTGGTTCGTTTGAATCCTGGCATCTTTTCCAAAGTAATTTGTACAGCTCAATTACTATGGGAGACTTCTAACATTCCTGGATTACCTCATAGTCCATACTTTCGCATGAACAGAGAGTGAGCGAATTGGACAGTTATGACAATCACCAGTTTTGGTTGATGGATGTAACAAATATTAAAATCCCACGCGTGTTATGATTTGATGTCCGGCTTACGATCACGTGACTTATACACCAATCAGAATACGGCTTATACGAATATTCGCACTATGACAAGACCAATGACGTTCAACCGGTCTGAGCAGTCTAGCGTCCTATTGGGTCCTACGTCCTTCTAACCCGTCCTCTTGAGTCCAGAACGCAATACCAGCTTCTGAATCAACCAAATCATTTATTTCAGACATACTCGGTTTATATATCAATCAGGCAGACCACAACGTACCATAAAATAGAAAATAACATATGTACACAAATAGGCCAAAAAGTGGCTGTGAATGTGGGAGACAGTAATTAATAGACAGGTTATAACTCAAGAATAATAAATCGTATAGTAATAATCTATGGGTCAAAATAAAGCTTATAATAAGTGGAATATAAATACACATAATGCAATTCTTGAATAATTATACAATAAGAATATTTATAGAATATTTGTCCATTAATAGTCCTCGAAAGTTACCTGTAGTTTAATCTTCACTGGTATATAACAACGTGATTTCAAGCTATGCGAGATTCGTTAATGAAGACAAAAATGACAATTGTTTACCCCTCTAGGTATTGATCCTCAATGGTAAATGTTTCGTCTTAAATCTACGTAACTTCATTGTAGAAGGGGAAATTACATTATTTGTAACTATCGGTATTTCGTTCTTGAACTTATGTTAAATATGATTAATATTCAGTCGTATAAAACTCGACACTACACCTGTTGCGAAGCAGGATTTTATCTGTTTTGTGTTTTAATTGAATTCCATAAGGCGAAATACTTGAATTTCTATTCTAACTACTGTTAAAATGTTAGTAGTGTGAACAAACTTCTTAGTTTATAAAGAAATTGAATCTAGTAATGATGTGCTTTTACGCTATATAACACGTACTTTAAAGTCTCAAACATCTTCGTAACTAGAAGAAAAACAGTTTATGTTATTAGAAAATAACTAATTGAAAATTTTAGTTATTTACGTGTTTATTTGAAAAATTTTGTTGTCGAATTTAATTTGATTCAAATTATCGAGATGTCGACTGTTTAATGTTCAGATTAAATTGAACTTCAAATCTTGACTAAATAATCACCAAATGATAATTGATAATCGAATAGGTAAATATGTGTTATAAGGTGTAATCTATCAGTAAGATAGTGAATGTTTTTTTATGATTACGAGTTCATTACTTGATTACAACGATTAATCTAAGATAGAAATATGTATTGATAAAAATAATCAAGGTGGAATCACTTCTACTTATTAAGTTTAATATTAATATACTCATGAGTTTCTTTCCTCAGCTTTAAAATTCAATGTATCCTTGTTTGCTCTTACTCTCAATGTTTTCTAAATAGGAATAAACAATCAGTAAATTAGTCATTGACATGTAGTACCATTATAAGGATTAACTGATTGTTAGTTTGAAATATTATGAGACATTCTTAGTTTCAGAAATCGGTAGTATTCAAAAACTATTTTTTTTATGTGATTTAAATGGACTCTGATAAGGAAGCTATGGATCAGTAATCTTATTGTCAAATAAATTTACGCTACAAAACCATTGTCCAACAATTGATTGGCTATGAACTTTTTGTTACAGAAGACAAATCATATCATTAGTGAATTTTACACAATCCTCTCCAATATACACAGATCTGGTTAATTTGATAGGAGAAGGGAAAGAGGCTCTAAAAAATCATGATTTTGAACAAGGAATATTTTTTAAACAAATTAACCAATGTGTAGATTGTTTGTATCTGCAACCTGTTATCTGAAGAAGCGACTTACACTAGGTCACCGAACACCAGAAATCCAATCTTATTATGATGTTACAAGTGCATAATTGTTGGTCATCACTGTCTTGTAATTATGGCTTGGTTTTCAAGTAATAAGTTTAAGAGACTTAAATAATTCCCAGTGAAGTTGAATTCAGATTGTGCGTGTCATTCATTAATCGAAAATGTTTTTTTTCATGTACTATATGATTATTGGTACAAATTCACTATCTGATCACCACCCAAATAAACCGCACTTGCCAACCATAAATTTGTTCTTATTTAAATTTCCGTCATTCAGTTGCATCCATCACAACACTATATTGGAATTTTAGAGTGGTGGCAACAGGTAAGTTCTGATCAGTCGGTTTCAGTTAACACTTATGGTTTGAGCACATAGGTCGCTAACTAGTAGATAAAGTTTTGCTTTACAGTGGAGCATTTACAGATTGCATAGCTATGATTTACATACTCTTACCAGTTTTTCTCATTTATTCACAAACATACATCATTTTTTCCTTTCAACAATGAAATAGAACAACTCATGTATAAGATTGTGGAATGGAGTTCTTGAAAAGTTAACTAATTCGAATGGTCTTCAGAGTAAAGTGACACCATTCATTTACACATACTCGTGAAACACAAACTTTGTCAGTTCGTCGCCAGAAAAAACCAATATTTCCTGTGGCTTGAAACTATGCTAAAATTGAAACTGTTTTCTTTCTTAAACAAAATCCATACTCATCCTAATGAACTTTTTCTGCGTCTGACATCTAAAATTGTTTAATTCAATTTTCTCTGGAGTCCATACGAACCATTAAAAAATTATTTAGTATAAGGCTAGAAAAATTCATCTCTGCATAGAAATTGCTTGTTTTATGGGAAAGAAAACTAGTTTTACCTTTAAAATTTTTATGGTTGTATATTTTGACTTATCAAGTACTCTATTCTTTTATGTGTATGTATGAGCATTGAATATTTGTTTCAATCGCCTATACACTTTTTATTCCCTCATTTGACCTTAATAGACAGATGTGCTCTTGAACTGTGAAATTTCCTCATAGATATTTAGTCTACAGAAAAAAGATAATAAAACATTATGGTTCACGTATAAATTTTTTTCAATCTTATTTACCATTATAATTAGGTCAAAACTTGTATGTGTGGAAAAAGTGAAGGCGAGAAAATTGAAAAAAATTCATAAACTAGAACGTTAAGAATGACCTCTTGTATGTGTATTTATGTATCAGATACACCGTATGTTTATATTGATGTAAGTATATATGCGTAGGTATGGGGATAATTATTTGTAATATCCATCCCACCATTTAGAAATAACATGGAGGATGAAACATACAGAAGTTTATATTAAAAGTATATTACAAGTCTGCCTAGGCTGAAGTACTTAAGGGTTTTACTATCCAGAGAATATAATTGGACTACTTTGAACACTAAGCCGTCGTTCAATAAGTTTAAACAAACTGTTGAATTCATTTAGTTCATAACAAAATTCTTACTGTTACATACTGGATAAATAAAATAGTACAATTAATTATAAAGAAAAATATCTGTTATATTGACTAACAATATTCAATATTTATTTGCAGTCCCTTAACTCATCGCTACTCTTACGAAAAGTGTATTTGCTCAAACTCAATTTGAAAACGTATATCATTTACCAGTTATTTAAGTCTATTTCATTGCTTAACTGCTTTTCATAAAGAAAACGACCATTTCCAAACACTTTCTAAAAATGATTGACAATTATGACTCTAAGTCTACATCATCCAAACATTTTATTAAGTTGATTTTCTTTAATAGAAAGTATACCTTCGTTTCCCAGGAAATAAATCGATTAGTCAATCAAATAATCTGCTGAGAAATATATTACAGCTGTTAACCATAAAATGTAGAAATCATGAATGAGATCTCTCATTACTGACATGTACACATCTTAGAAAGTTCAGTTCTTAATTTTCAAATTTCTCATGTATACGTAAGCAGCACCCACTTTTAAATTTAATCTTACTACCAGTTTTACTTAACAAAACATTGTTTTACTATCGTTACTACTGTTGTTCAATTTGAATAAAGTATACACTACGTCCTTTGCATGAGTTAGGAGTTTCATGTTTTAGATTTTTGAATAATGAATTTTGGAGGTGAGTTGATACCACATTAAATAACTGAAATTTCGATCCTAAACAGAGTAAAATGTAGTCAAAAAGACATGATCGTAAACGTTTCTAACTATAGAATTGGGAAAATTCAGTCTTCCAGACGAGTATGTGTTTATTGGAACCAGCTTAGTAAAAAGTTTGAGTATCAAACACACATCAATTATGTGGACATTAAAAAATGTTTCCTGGTTTGCAACTATCCTAACTGATGATTTTTAAGTATTGACTGTATATACCTATCATGAGAATAATGCTGTTACATTCAAATTATA